GGGGGGGGCACCACTTCAAAATGGCCTAGAAAACCCTGAAGTTTCTCCTACAGTACCCCCCATTGCTCACCTCCAAAACCATCTTCTTCTTCTGCATAATCTGATCTCCCGACCGCTCCACAACCGTCGTCATCGTCATCTTCTGCTGCGCGTTCTCCACGGATTTCGTCTCCGTGGTTACTGTAGTCTGTGAGTTGGCATCTGAAGACTTCGTCGTCGTGGTTCTAGAAGAAGACGTCAGAAGCTTCGGGGGCGTCGTCACGATGAGATCTGCATCATCGTCGTCGTCGGCGAGCACGGCGACGGCGTCAGCGGGTGGAGCGACGCCTTGTTGGATGCTGGACATGATTTGGTAGAGCGCTGTGCAGTCCCGATTCGTGTTATGCTTCAGGCAGAAGGGTCTGACGTCGGTGGTCAATTCCTGAAGAGAATTTTTGGAAATTTCGGTCATTTTGAAGAGGTGGCCTAACTTTTGCAAGTTGAATTTTCTAGGCCACCGAGTTTTTTTGCCTAGGAATTACCTTATATTTATCTAGTGTGTTTTCTAAGTCATTTTGAAGTGGTGGCCTAGAAAAACCAACTTGCAAAAGTTCGGCCACTATGGTAAGATGGCCTAGAAAACTCATGAACCCATTTCTAGGTCATTTCAACATGGTGGCCTAATTTTTACGAGTTAGGTTTTCTAGGCCACTATGTTAAAATGACCTAGAAATGATCTCATGTGTTTTCTAGGCGATTTTGAGCTGGTGGCCTAGAAAACCAAACTTGCAAAAGTTCGGCCACCACTGGGAGATGGCCAAAAAACACTAGAAAAATGGCTTTAAAGGCGCCTATAAAGGAGCCGTGGCCTAGAAAACTCCAGCATTTTTTTAGGGCAGTAACTACAGTAACCCAGATTTTTATGGCAGAGACTACAGTATGACAGAGACTACAGTAAACCAGATAGTACCTCCACAATGACCACTTTCTCAGTGATAAGCTTCCTTATCAGCATTGCGACGAGTCGTATCGCACGGTCCGTCGCATTCTCGGCGGTCTCAACGACACTGATGACGTGGCGTATGTAATCCATGACTATCGATCGATGCGATGCTTGGAGACGATTCAGCTCTTCGAACTCCTTGCCCAGTTTGACGACGGTTTCGAACGCTTGGACGATCGAGCCGACGGATTGCAGGATTCGCATGTATCTGGAATATCGATGTGGGGGTCATTTTGAAGAATCTAGGATCAATTTGGACCGTGTTGGAGCATCCAGAAGGTCATTTTAGGAACTAATTTAGGCCTCGTTAGGCCTAGGTAGGCCTGGTTAGGCCCATTTCAGGACTTGAACCGGTATTCCTCAAATACTGGAGCTATTAAAGTGCCCATTTTTAAAGGATTAAGTCAGTTTAGGTCATTCTTAGGCCAATTTAGGCCAGTTTAGGTCATTTTTGAACAATTTTAGACCAATTTCAGACTAAATTAGGTTATTTTTAGGCAAGTTTAAGTAAGTTTTAGGCAAATTCAGGCCAATTTAGGTATACTTAGGCAAATTCAGGCCAATTTAGGTATATTTAGGCAAATTCAGGCCGATTCCGATCAATTTCAAAGCAATTCAGGTCATTCTAAGGCCATTTTAGGCAAATTTCAGGGCATTTTCAGCAATTTTCACCCAACTTTCATATCACTAACCTTCCAAACAAGCATTGCTCCGTTCCGGTTGCCTTATCATTCAACGCGGTGCGGACCAAGAACGATGCACAGATTCGGTTGTTGTTACGACAGAACTTCTGAACGAACTCGTCGTCTTCAGAAGCGGCGAGGAGGCGTTTGAACTGCGGATGCGATTGGGCGCCGTATTTGACGAACTGAATCAGCCGATCCGATTTTGAGGTGCTGGAAATTGGATTTTTCCAGTTTTTAGGTCATTTTTAGCTCATTTTAGACGTTTTTAGACGATTTTCGAGGTATTTTTGCTCCAAAACGTGAAAAAATACCTCTAGAATCGCATGAAAATCGTCCGAATCGTCTAAATAGGCCATTTTCCAGCCATTTCCAGCAAACTCACGTCAATCCAATGCCTTCCAGAACACGATCCACACATCCCTCGATAATCTTATCATCGTCCGCGTACGTCATCTGAGTCATTGCCTTGAATTCTGACTCTGCTTCGATTTCGGAATCCTCCGAATCGATTTCCGTCGGACATTCTGAAGAGGCCGACGATTCGACCATTCGACCGGTGAATTCGATTTGTCGTTGCGCTTCGTCTACTGGAAAATCGATAGTTGCGAAATGACATAGTTGCAAAGACTCCTCGTTGCAAAATGTCATAGTTGCAAAGGGTTTTAGTTGCGAAATGACATAGTTGGCAAATGTCAGTTGCGAAATTTTATAGTTGCGAAATTTCTTAGTTGCGAAATGACACAGTTGCGAAATAGCCTGGTTGCGAAATGTCTAAGTTGCAAAGGGTCTTAGTTGCGAAATGTCGTTAAAAAGCTTACACTCTGGCTGCGTCATTCCACTGAAGATCTCACTTTGATACTCGACGACAGCTGCAAAGGATATATGTATTTTTGGCGGGAAATTCGAATTTTTCAGCCAAAATGTCATTTTTAAGCAAAAATAGGCAAATTGAGGCTATGTTTAGGCTAGCTTAGGCCATTTTCGTACAATTTCAGACGATTTCAGCCTAGAAATCATGATTTTGGATCAATTTAAGCCAATTTTCAGCGATTCATAGCTCAAAATTGGTCATTTTTAGCCGAATTTTTTTGAAAAATGAGTCATTTTCAGTTATTTTCCGTCATTTTTGATGATTCTCCAAGCCAAAAAAGGCCTATCTTACTCGTTTCCAAGTCCTCAAACGCCTTCAGCAGCTCCTTTTGCATATCGGGACCAGCGGATTTCGAGTAGACGACTTGTTCGGCCTCCTCGTGCTTCGGATCAATCATTCTACGGAAATTGGCGACACTGGGATCCTCTAAATCGTCTGGACGCATTCTCGATGGGAGGAGTGTCGGAGCATTGTGGACCAGCGGGTAGAAGGCCTCGGCCATGCCCGCCTCGTAGTCTTTTCGTTCCCTATAACTTTTTTGGGCGGTGAAAATAGTGAAAAATTAGGCCAATTTAGGCCATTTTTAGGCAGGTTTAGGCCAATCTGGGTGATTTTTAGGTCATTTTTAGGCAAAAATATGCCATTTTTGAACATTTTCCGACCGATTTCAGACTAAATTAGATCATGTTTCAGAAAAAAAATAGGCCAATTTAATAAAATTACCGGTAAATTCACCAAAACCGTACCGATAGCACACACTGCTCCCACTTGACCTACAGGACTCTAGTCGGTCCGTCTGGTCATTTTACTTTTTTATTGGTACAAATCCCATTTCTTGCCAAATTATCTATCGATTTTCCCCCATGCATTGCAAATAAATATATTATTATTATTATTTTTAGGCAAAATTAGGCCATTTTCGAACAGTTTCACACCGATTTCAGACTAATTCTTACATTCCCAACTCCCTCATCGCCTTCACCAGTGGAACCATCTCCTCCGTAATCTCGGGCCAATGATCCATATTAAGCTCCGCCCACTTCTCAAACGCATCCCTCTCGACTTTATGTAGGTCCAGACTTTTCGCCTTTTTCTGGAATTCCAACGCCGTCAACTTCTCGACGACGCCTACATTACACGTGACGATGATTCGTGCCAACGTCGCCTCCGGCTCGTGTTGCTCCAATTGCTCAGCCCAGAATAGAAACGTGGCAAACGGATGGGCGTGGACGTCGGCGATGGTTTTGGCGGGTTTCAGACGCATGTACTGTTCCATATCCGGCAGACGCCACACGATGTAGATGATGTTGAGACGACGAACGACGTCTTCTTGATCGTCTCCATCCACGTCGAATAGGGCGATGAGGGCGTGAAGGATGGCGAGGGAGCAACGATTTTCGAAGAAGGCTAAGACGGAATTCCCGAGGGAGTTGAAGGATTTGTTCGTGGTTCGGATGAAGCTGGAAATTGAAGTTTTTAGAGTGAAATTAGGGGTTTTTAGAGGTTTTTAGAGCTGGAATTCGGCAACTTTAGGTCTAAAAATCGGCAATTTTGATCAATTTTCGACCTAAAAACTTCCATTTTCAAAATTGAAGTTTTTAGGCCTGAAATTGAGGTTTTTAGATGGAAAATTGGGGTTTTTAGGGCTAAAATTCGGCAATTTTGACCAAAAATGAGGGATTTTAGGTCTAGAATAAAGGTTTTTAGGTCGAAAATTGAGGTTTCTAGATGGAAAATTGAGGTTTTTTGGGATTTTTCAGCTGGAATTTCTGGATTTTTTTGGGATTTTTAGACGGAAAATTGAGATTTCTAGGTTGAAAATTGGGGTTTTTAAGGCTAAAAATCGGCAATTTTGACCTAAAATAAATTGAGGTTTTTTTCAATCAACAATCCGAATTTTTGGGATTTTCCAGCGAGAAATTTGAAAATTTTAGACGGAAAACGAGAATTTTTAGGTCATAACGCGACGATTTTTGACCTGTAATTGGCAGAAATCGAGCATTTTTCAGTTACAATTCTAAAAAATGGCTCAAAATACAATTTTTCGATATTTCAGCGTACTTTGAAATATTGGTAACATCGCTTTCGGAAATATACAAGTCCTCATCTCGTTTAATATCCTCCAACAAGTCCAAATCGTTCTCCTTCTTATTTTGAGCGTCATCCTTCGATACGGCGCCAGCAGCCGCCGCCGCCGCTTTTTTATCCTTCTTTTTCTGTTTTTTCGTCATTTTTCACCTGGAAAAATCGAGAAAATCGGGTGGAAATTGGCGAAAATCGATGGAAAAAGATTTAGAAAAAATAGAAAAAATGGGTAGTCAGCAAGCGCGCTCTACTGCTACGCGCGAGAGAGTGGAGAGCGCAGAGAAGTGATTGACGCATTTCTCGTGTGTTGACGCATTTCTCGGCGAATAAATTTTCAGATTCTGATTTTCAGCCTTTTTCAGCCAAAATCCGTTATTTTTTAAAATTTTTTTTGAAAAAATTGAAATTTTCAGCTAAAAAATGCTTAGAGCAGCATTTCAAGCCTCTAAAATTGCTACTTCGGCCTGGAGACCTCCTGTGGAAATGATGAAAAAATTTTATTTTTCAAAATTCCAAATTCGACCAATTTCCACGACAAGTATTTCGAAAACCGGCGATTTTGAGTATGAAGTAAGCCTAGAAATCGATTTTTCGGGTCAAAAAACCATACAAATGACGTTTTAGGACCCAAAAAGTGAGGATGAAGTTGTAAATATCACATATGTGTTAAGAGACGGAACTGAGCGGAAAATTCGAGGAAAAGTGGGCGATAATGTCATGTTTTTGGCGCACAGGTGCGGTTTTTTCGGCTAGGCGGGAATTTGAAATTTTCAAAAAAACATTTTTTTTGAATTTTCAATTTTCTTCGGTGGGCTTGGCGGGAATTTGAAAAATTTGAATTTTCAAATTTTCTTTCAGATACGACATTGAAATGGAGGGAGCTTGCGAGGCATCGCTGGCATGTTCCACGTGTCATGTCTACGTGGATCCGGCGTTTTCAGATAAGCTCCCAGAGCCACTGGAAGAGGAGGATGATATGTTGGATATGGTACTGTAGTGGAAATTCTGAACTTTTGAAAAATCTGAAAATTCTGGAAATTTGAATGTTTGAAAAATCTGGAAATTCTGGAATTTTGAATTTTTTAAAAATCTGAAAATTCTGGAATTTTGTTTTTTTTCTTAATCTGGAAATTCTGGAAATTTGAATGTTTGAAAAATCTGAAAATTCTGCAATTTTGAATTTTTGAAAAATCTGAAAATTCTGGAAATTTAAATGTTTGAAAAATCTGAAAATTCTGGAAGTTTAAATGTTTGAAAAATCTGGAAATTCTGGAATTTTGAATTTCTGAAAAATCTGGAAATTTGAATGTTTGAAAAATCTGGAAATTCTGGAATTTTGATTTTTTCTTAAATCTGGAAATTCTAAAATTTTGAATTTTCGAAAAATCTGAAAATTAAAAAAATCAATTTTCTGCTGAAATTCGGTCGAAAATTGATTTTTTTTAAATTTGAATATTTTTTAAAAAATTCCGAAAATTCATTTTTTTCAAAATTCCAAAAATTCAATTTTTCAATAATTCACAATTTTCCAATTTTTCCAGGCGCCCGCTCTGAAGGACAACTCTCGTCTCGGATGTCAAATCGTTTTAACCAAGGAACTGGACGGGATTACGGTCACTTTGCCAACGATGACACGCAATTTCTATGTTGATGGACATGTCCCAAAACCTCATTAATTCCCTTTTACTTGTTATTTTTCTTGAATTTGAATTTTTATTTTTTGTGATGTTTTTAAAGTTTTTGAGATTTTTCCGAGATTTTTAAAGTGCCAAAAATGGATTGAAATTTTGAATTTTTCGAGTTTTTTTTTGAAATTTTCTCGAATTTTGAAAATCTAAAATTTCAAAAAATCGAAAATTTGAAATTTTCAATCCCAAAAAAATGTGTATCGAGTCTTCCAGAAGGATTCGGGTTTTGAATTCTATTTTTCGCTCATTTTTCCCCTTTTTTTCAAAATATTTTTTAGTTTATTTTGATTAGAAAATTAAATGAATATTGTTTTTGCTTTTAAGCTTGTTTCTAATTGAAAAAATTCAAAAATTTCAATTCTTCAAAATTCAGATTTTAAGAAAAATTTGTCTTATTAAAATTCCAAAATTAAGTGTTTTTTTTCGAAGACTTCAAATTTTAAGTTTATCAATAACAAATAAAATTTTCAACGAAATCAAAAAAATTTCCAAAAATTGATTTTTGACCATTTTCAGAATCCTGTATCTCAGCTTTCAAGTTTTCGACCCCTTTCAAAATTTCAGAATGTACATAACAATAATAGAGCTTCATTTTTCTAGTTGACCATTTCTTTCTAGCTAGCGCAGTTTTTGAGATATGCGCCTTTGAAGTTGGCGGAATTTCGGACACAAAAATGTCATTTTCGATGCAAAAACACGATTTTACACCGTCTCAGACATGAAAAACGCTTAAAAAGACCCTAAAAGACCCTAAAACACCCGAAAACCCCCTTAAACAGCCTAAAATGACAATTTTCGAAAAAGTGAACCAGATGGCTCAGTGGGTTTTGGCAGTAAAATTTACGGTCCACAAGACCAAAGTTCGATTCCTTCCGGGATCCAATTTTTTTTATTTTTGTGTAAACCTCAAATATGATAGTTTCAGGTACATTTAAGGTCTAGAAATGCCAAATTTTTCGTATTGAGATCTGAAATAGCCTCTAATGGGAGTCCCTTACTTTGAGCCCATATATCTCATTTCCTGTAAGAGATATCATTAATATGCCAACTGATAAAATGTTGCTGATATTATGATAAACATTTTATCAGTTGGCCACTTTTTGATATCTTTGACAGGAACCGAGAAAACTTAGCACAAAGTTAAAGGTTAGAGGACCCTTCTATTACAGGCTTTACGGTAAGTTTAATCGAGGCCCACCAGCTAGCTGTTAAAAAAATCAGTATTTGAAAAAATTTCAGTTTCACATTTTTCAGAAATTTCCAGAAAAATCCATATTTTTCAGTTATATTCTCTCCGATCGGTTTTTTTTCAAATGACCATTTCGCAACCGCGACATTTTAAAACTTTTCTTTACTTCAAAAAAATGTTTATACTTTTTACACCACGTCTACTGACCTTTTTCCCCCGTTCTGCTGTAATACAATTGGCCCCTTCAATGCTCAAATGTGTAATATTTTGGTTTCTCTAGTTGTCTGCGTCTCTTACTCCTCCACACTCTCTCGCCTCTCACTCTCCAGACGCCAGATGCTCAACTCCATCAGACAATAAATCGTTTTCTTTTTGCTAAAATGACCCTTCTACTATTTTCTATATTATCGATTATTTGCATATTGCCACGTGGCAGCTACTGTCAGCAGACATCCGGAGAAAAACGGGTCACTTTCGAGGACTATTATCAATTTGGAAAAAATGAGTACACTGATAAGAATTGGCCGGATTGTGTAGCTTTTATGAAACGAGCGATTGATGATTTTAAGTGAGTGGAACTTGAAGTGTTTCGAAAGAAAAATTAGGGCAAATTCGCTCTACTGAGAATTCAATTTTGAAAAATTTTCAAATTTTCTACTGAGAATCTCTGAATTTTGACCCTGCACTCAGCTTTTCCAACTTTTGAGCTTCAAAATGAGCCCAAACACGACTAGGCTCCGTCCACTTTGATATTTCAGATAGACACGCGACGCACGACCGCGCCGCGTCTGAAATATCAAAGTGGGCGGAGCCTAGTTGTGTTTGGGCTCATTTTGAAGCTCTAAACTTGGAAAAGCTGAATTCAAGATTAAATTGTGAATATTTCTTCCGTGTTTTTTGTTGAAAGCAAATGCGCTCTATTGAGAAGTTTTGCAGTGAAACGGGGCGCAGAAGCCGCGCAAGCTGTCGCCAACTACCTCCTTTTCGATGATAATCCACTAATGAAACGGAACAAATATTTCTACGGAAAACAATACAAAAAACCGGAATTGTTCACACCAAGTCCCGAAATGGTCCAAATTTATGAGAAACGAGAATTGGAATCTCGTTATTTGAGCTTCATGGAGACTCGATTCGTTATTAAAGATGGAGAGGTTGGAAGAGTTTGTTTTTTCCCTTTTTTCTAGGCCACAAGTTAGTACGAAGCTGGTCTAAAAAATCGATAGTTATATGGTGGCCGAGTTTTTCCCGGATTTCTAGTCCATGAGGTGAAAAAAGCTAAGAATATCGATTTTCAGCTCCCACCCGAACAAGCCGATGATCATAATCCGTTGTCAACGGATTTCCACACGGATGACAATTTCCCATACGCTGAAATTAAGAATCTGATGACGTCACCAGAATGTAAAATTCTGAGAGCCGAATTTGAGACGACGGAGAGAGATGCGTTTGTGAAGGAGTTGGAGAGAAGAGTCAAGGTGAGTTTTTGTCGATTTTTAAGCTTTTGTTCGGTGGAGCGCGGATGTCAAAATATTGATTTTTTCAGAATCTCCTGGCCACATTCCAAATTCTCATCGGTGTCCTGCGGG